ACTACACAAAACCTTTGTGGGTTCTTAGAAAGCCCCCTTCAACTTTCAACACAGAAGAAATTCCCAACTATGTTAACCGCGATTTGTATGTGGCGGGCGGACAAAATTACGCATGGAGTTATGTTTGTTAGTGAAATAGTTGTTCACGCTTTTAGAGGATTTTTTTTGGGAGCATCAAAGGTTGAAGGAGGTTCTCTGAGAATCTAAAAAGTAGGAGAGATTTTCGTGACACTTTAGAAGTTATGAAAAGATATCCAAGAAAACCTCAAACTTTTAGAGGGTTTTTGGTCCTCCTTGACCAAAGTGAAGTCGTACACGACCCCACTTTATCCGCCTATGGGAACGCCTTGTATTCACTAGCAGTCTTGATTTAATGGATACTTTACCAACATGTAGATACCATGTGCCTGACAATATCTACAAAATAATATTTCCTTAGTGCTTGACAATGACATAGATATCGATAACGGGCAAATACTCAAGCAAATAACATAACGTTAAAGGATAATTACAATACTACACTTCCAAAACTACAGCGGTACCAGGTGAAGTAATTTGGAATTTAAATACGTTCAAACATATTGTCCAATTATCACTACTCGCTTTTTAGTATACGAGATTGGGCTTCCCCACCAAAGATAAAATAAATGAAGTCTTCTTCATGATGTACTCTAAATACAAAAACGAGAGGGAAGGCGAACCTCAACCTCCGTAAGCTTTATGTAGAAAGATAATGTTGTTAAGTTAAGCATTAATACTGAACTACATCAAGGTTAGAGTAACTTGTAACAGCTAAGGACAGTTAGTTGCACTACTCGCATTATTCAAAATCATGTAACAAGCTATTGGTACTTTGACCAGTGACTTATCTGTTGTATCATAATAAATAGATTATAGTAAATGTAGAAAGAATAATCACTAGATCTACGTTACACCTACGACATTAAAAGGTGAACCATACTAGCTTGTTCGGATTCATATATAAATAACCCTACTTTGTTCGGATTCTTTTATAAATTGTTTCATGTCTCAAGTTGCAAATAAAGCAACGTGCCAGGCGGTCCCCATCGGATGGGTTTAAATGTAAACTATATTAATCACAAAGCAACGTGCCGGCCTAAAAGCCAATTGTTAATAGGCCTGTTCAAAAAGCCCGCTGCGATTCGGATCTGGGTTTTGGCCTGGTGGGCCGATCACAGTTCAGGTCCGGGGTACCTAGTGTGAAACCCGGACAACCCAAACCCGACCTGGTGCCTGGAAAAACCCCGGACAACCTAATTACAGCTATTTGGGGTATTTTTAAAAAAGGCAATAAAAAAAGTTCAAAAAAGGGCTACATTTTTCATTCCAAAAAAACCCCAAAATTTAAGTGTATTTTAATCAATTGTTCGTGGGGTGGCCTTTATGAATAGAAGAGGGTATTCACTTTGTTTTTCACTCGGAATTTTTTTGAAATGGGCAGGTTTTGAAAAATATGTAACAAACCCGACTTCTTTTTTGTCAGATCACAAAGACTAGCCAAAAAGAGGTCGGTTTTGCTGAATTTGGGTTTTGAAACACACGAGACTAGTAGTCTCATGTGTTTAGTGATCACTAATAAGCCACTAAACTAAACTCAGAAAACTCACGGGATTACTAGTCCAGTGAGTTTTTTCTTCACAAACATCCAAATATAAGCGACCAATTTCTACACGATTCCCACCCAAAATCTAATTTTTAACGATCCCATCGGCAAATTCCTAACATAAATTGGGAATCAGATTTCTACTCAAAAACCAAAATTCGAATGCTCTAGTTGAAGCACAAATTAAGAAATAGCAACCAATTACTGCACAAACCCCATCAAAATCCAATCTTTAACACTTCAACCCACTAGCTTCTACTGAAAATTGAGAAGAATTACCCAGTAGACGAAGCCAGAAATCGCCACCGCCCGATCCAGCGGCGAAGAAAAGACCTTTCCAAACCTGACACCATGGGACTTCAAGAACACTGTCATCACCATCAAGTTGATCTGATTCGCTTCCCCTCGGAGACCTAAAACCCTAGAAATCCACAAAATATTCAAATCACCACAAATTCCCACTAGTTAGGAGTAGTCCGTGGGTTTTGTATATGTGAAGAGAAAACTCATGGGACTAGTAGTCCCGTGGGTTTTTTGAGTTTAGTTTCGGGGCCGATTAGCGGTCACTAAACACACGAAACTACTAGTCCCGTGTGTTTCAAAACCCAAATTCAGCAAAACCGACCTCTTTTAGCCAGCCTTGGTAAGCTAGCCAAAAAGAGGTCAGTTTTGCTAAATATTTTTCAAAACAGACCCATTTCAAAAAAAAATTCCTTTTTCATTCAAAACTCACTCTCTTCTCTCTTCTAACTCTATAATTGTCTCTATTTTTTTCATGTTAATACCATTTAGTATATTGCTCTCAAATTCTCACTTCTAACTCTCCAATTCTCTCATAAATTTCGATGGCTTCTTCCTTTGATTATGATAACGATGTTGACACAACAACTTTAAAATTCACTCCTCCAAAGACGGAACCAAAAGAAATTGATAATACCCGTGAAATTTCTATAAGGTCGCAATGGAATAGTATATTTTAGGACAAATTTTCAAAATCAACCTTTTTATCATTTTTATCAGCAAAACCGACCATTTATGAAATTATTCAGCAAAACCGACCATTTTCTTTTGAAAATGGTCGGTTTTGCTTGTTGGGAAATTTAACGAAATACACGGGACTGCTAGTCCCGTGTATTTCGACCCTGTTTTGAATTGCACGGGACTAGCAGTCCCGTGCAATGGATTCGTGCCCTCATTTTCTTCACCCTTGATGTTCAAACCATTGCAAATCGTGGCTTGGAATTGGCTCGAGCAGGTAATGTAAAATTAAATATGAAATTTACATATTATAATTTAAATTTTAAAGTAATTTTTGTATTTCGGATTTTTTGGAATTATCTCTCATGGGTACATATCCCGAAGCACGGAAACATGCATCAATATATCTGTCGATAATGCAGAGGCTTCACCAAGCCTTACATCGAACTCATGAAGACCTTCATGATGGGCGAGAGGTAACGCAATTAGTATACACACGTCAACCACGACAAAGATGAGAACGACGCAAAAACGACAATGAAGCTGGGCCTTCCCAACGTGTTGACGACGGAGCTGGACCGTTACAACCACAAATGCAACCGGATCATGAACTCATCGAAGGTCGGGATGGAGGAAGCCGAAGACAAAGAAGGAGGAGAAGAGTTCTTCGATGTATGTAAGCTAATCGTTATTGTTATATAAATTACAATCCTATTTTGATATGTACATTACAAACGTATTTCAGGACAATAGATGATTTTTGGATTTGTAGCCGAAACTGTGGTGTGACTTATTGGATTTGTAAGTGGGTTTGTGGCGTGATTTGTTGGATTTGTATGAGTTTGTGGTGTATTTTATGATTTTTAGATTTGATATATGATGGTTGGTGGTGTATTGTATGAGTGTGTGATCTATTGTATGGGTTTGTTGGAATTGACATGAAATATGAGTTTGTACAGGAAATAGCAACAATGCAGCAAAAACATGCACATGACATAGGAAACGCACGGGACTGCTAGTCTCGTGCGTTTCATTGTGGTTAGGAAGTGCACGGGACTAGCAATCCCGTGCACTTGTTTTTTTGTTGAGCCGGAGCTCTCTTCTTAAAACACGGGACTAGCAGTCTCGTGTTTTCAGCAGAGGCAAGGAATCGATTGCCTCTGCTGAAAACACGGGACTGCTAGTCCCGTGCATTTCGAAGCTGGGTCGAAATACACGGGACTAGCAGTCCCGTGTCTTTCGTAAAATCTCTCCACCAGCAAAACCGACTATTTTCAGAAGAAAAGGGTCGGTTTTGCTGAATAATTTCGTAAGAGGTCGGTTTTGCGTTATAAATTGGCAAAAGGGTTGATTTCAAAAAATTGTCCTATATTTTATTTGAGAATATTGAAATCGAGAATAATGATGGAGTTACTATCGGCCAAAACGCGAAATATTCCGTATGCAGCAAGGTAATAAATGCTCATCTTAGGCTAAGGACTTCCTACCTCAAACGGCATATGCAAGGCCACAACTCGACATCTTCTAGTCTTTTCTCTCGCAATCATCTTCCGCATGCAGTATCTTTGCTCATTCTCTTACGACTCAACTAGAGCTAGGAAATAGATCATCAAGTATGTTGTACTTGGAAATTTACCTTTACGTATGATAGAAGCTAATGAATTCAAAGAAAAGATTAGCAATGCTTTTTATCCCGGTTTTCAAAAGTTTTCCACCAAACTTAGGCCATCCGGGTCCAGGTCCGGACAAGGGTATTTTTTGCCTGGCACGCTTAGACACCGCTAACCGATAAGATCAATTTGGCCATTGCAACGCAGAGGAGGGAGAATTAGCGCAACAACAAGAACCATTCAATAAAACAATTTCCAGCGATTCGAATATTTTTTTTACTTGCAACCATATTTCTATTTGCTTCAGAGGGTTTCACACACTTCAGCCAATGTTAATGGTGACTTACCTCTTCCTACATCCAAAATTAAAAAGGAAAGGTAGGTGAATGGTAACGAACAACATGGTAAGGAGACATCCAACGGTTCTAGATCATGACAAAGTAAGGCCTCGAACGTAAAAGGGGTGTAGAACAAGGGTACATGACATTGAGCAGTCTGTCCTGATTAATACACCTAATAAGGAATTATTAATAACATGTGCAAACCTAAATCATAGACAACAATATACCTGGCAGAAATTTTCTGGAGGGATGAGGAGGATTGGCAGAATGCTATGTAAGCTATCATTTGAATTTATAAATAATACTTTCAAGGGTGAAAAAAAATCAAATCAGTGAGTCTCCTCACTCTGTAAATGAATATCTTTATAGATGAGAATCCTGAATGGCCGCTCAAAACTCAGATTATTTCTTTAACAATCAACGAAATAATCAACAGATTTGAGAAGAAATTAATAATACGATTACTCTTATTGCTGGTGGGAAAATGCACCATAAAGTTGCACGTATTCATATTTCAATTCCAAATGCTGCTTACTCGAATGCTGTCTTTGCCAAATCATCAGCTAACAAAATGAGAATTTGACACTTCTCAATTGAAATTAGGAAGGGGAGGGAAAAAAAGGAAACAAGAAACATAGTGTCAGGTTACAACCAGTAGAGAAGAACACATTAGGTGTTGCTAAAATGAATTTCAACAATTCTAAAACAAGAACTCATAATGCAATGTACTCTCGGCCATAATCTTTGGCTTGATATTTTGCTCCGCCAGATTGAAGGATGCAGAAATCTGGGAAAATTAAGGCAGAAAATAAGCTAAAAGAAAAGGAATGCAGAATACTGTTTGTACAATCCAAAGATGAGATAGTCAATCACAAGGAACTATATACGTCAGTAGATAACATGGAAAGTGAAAAATTCTCAGAATAATTAGACTAACAGAGTAAGTAGTGAAAACATTAGATATTGCACATGGTCAGTGCATAATTGATCAATTGTGTAAAGAGCAGGAAATTACAGTTATAAGGGGACACATAAATCAGCGTACACATACCAGGAGGCAGTACCGTAAAACATGTTAAGTGAGTTCTTGCAGAAGACGAAATCATAAGAAAAAACACGCATGCATGAGTCTGCGCGCACAAAATGTTGAAAATAACGATAACGCATAACATTATAGTGCTCTACCTCTTGTTAAGGGTTTGATTTAAAAAGCACTAAAAAAATAGAACACATAACATAGGTTATTTGTTTATTAATTATTTGGATACTTTATAAATACAAACTATTTATAATGACTTTAATAATTACAATCATCAAAAATTTCAAACGTAGGGAGGACCACTAGAGAGTCATAAAGGAGTTAGGATTTAGGATCATTCGCCTTCGTTGACAGGGATTAGGATTTAGAAGCTGGAGAACCACTGGAGGTGGAGATAGGGTTAGGGTTTCTTTGTTGGCGGGAGGAGATGGGGGAGCCAAGGAGGAATCGCAAAAGAGCCTTATCGTTGGTAGAGATAGAGAATGAGAGGAATCTTGTCGTGATGAGAGGCTTCGTCTTCGTCAAAGGCGCGAGAGGTCGAAGCGATTGAGAGATTTACTACTTCATCGAAGGATCGAAGGCATGAGAGGAGAAGGTGCAGGAGGGGGAGATGCTTGAGATGAGGTCAATGGATTGCTAGGATTTTTCCACACGAATGAAATTGGGTCAAGGGATTCAAGTGGGAGCTTATTCGACTTAGTACGATATTGAGTGGACAGTGGAGATATTGTCACACATCCAAATCTGATCCCCATTTTAACTCAATTTAACAAGCGTTAAATAACGCTTAACATAACGTAGATAAAATAAAATTTTCAACATTATTTTCTGTGATAAATACAACATGGGTTCTGTGCTTGAGTTTTATAACACTTTCCCTCTGTTAGATGTCGAAACGGATTATAATGGATTTTGAAATATGTATTTTTCTACATGATATATATATATAGTATATACTACTATATATATATATATATGATCATATATACATGGAGAGAGAGAGATGTAGGAACATCGTAACCAAGGCACAAATTTTCTGCTTCGGTAATTGCAGCGTGGCTCATTTCCATCCACTACTTTCAACCCGGTGTAAATATATGTCCCCATTTTTAGCTCATTCAAATAGGGGAGCCACATTCCACATGCAGACAGCCTTACTAACAGCCACAAAAAACTTAATGGCTTGGTACCCAGAATTAATCCATATTGCTTTATACTATATATATATATATAGTTAATATATTATATATATATATTATATACTATATATAATATATATATATATTATATATATATATATATATATATATATCCACCTATTAACCAGGCTGAGCTATCTGCTCATCCAAATGGCCTGATCTGCTTCATTCATCTTGTGTATTATGTCATAAAATATCCATACAAAAATTAATGCATTTGAAAATGTTTATGGCCATCCATCAAATTTGTTATATATTACCTTAGTTTTGCAACAAGAGCTGTATGTGTTAAGCAATTTATGACTATAAATCAACTTGTCATAAATCATATAAGATGGTGTCAGTGTCATAAACCGTGAAAAAAGGGACAAGAGGACTTCCCACTGAACATAGTGGGAAATGTTGGCTGGAAGGACAAAAACTATCTTCATTATGCATATTAAGTTTGTGTAACCAAGTTTTTCTTATGCTAAAAATAAATAAAATGAGTCCCAATTATAAGATTTTCAAAAGAGAATTGCACTAAGAGATGAAGGTGGTGCTTATGAGTTTTGGGTAAATTTCATCTAGGCAACAAGCTCAAAATAATTTGCACCAACAGTTAGTATCATTTATAAGCCTTTTCAGTCAATAAAAAACTCTTTTCATTATTTTTCAAAATTATTCATAAGTTAGGCTAAAAGCAGAACTCGTTTTAATAGAACAAAGAGGCTACTTTTGTTGAATTGTTGTGGACTCTGAGCAACACTATCAACTGATTGATGAAGTAGCTAAGACCTTGAGTTTCTGCAGTTTAAAGAAAAAAAGCTTCTAAAAATCAAAGCCTAGGGAGCACCATTGATCTGTTAGATACTGAACTTGAAATTACAGTTCGTGCATGGACAGCGAGTTCGAGGAGACCTTTGACTAGGTTATACTTCACCAAATTAAATGAATGAGGACTCATTGGAAAGCTCTGCCTGTCTGGTTTCCAATGAATCAGACAGTTTGTGATTCAGAGCCTTCTGGAGGAGAGGGAAGTAATCAGCATTTATGATGTGTTTGGATAGCTTTTGTCAAGAGGAGAGGGAAGGAGTTGGGAGGTTATAGTACTAACAATTCCTAGATTGTGTTTGTTTACGATTTTTGGTTTGTAAAGGAAAGAGATAGACAGGCTTAAAAGAAGCGAATTTCCTCACATTCTTAACCCTCCTAAGGTAGATGGATTAGAAGGGAAAAGGGACTAAGTTTTAAATGATATTTTATTAAATATCCAAGGTTATCCCACTTTAAGTTATATGTTTGATGTAGTTTCTCTCCCTTCCTATTCTCTACTTTAAACAAACACAAATCATAGTGTATGCTCCCTTTCCCTAGTTGTCTATTCAAACACAATTAGTTCTATCCCATCCTTTTCCACCCCCCTCCCTTTGGGTTTACTACAATCATTTTTCTCCTCTACCCTCTTTTGTATCCAAACCCACTGTTAAGTGATGACTGTTCAGCTTATTCGAAAATCTGCATTCACGAACTTAGTTATTATGGATGTAGGTATTAGATATAGAGTCTTTTGTGTTTAATGTCTTAAGTCTAGGGTTATCTTCGAGTAGTATAAATACCTATATAATGCAGCAAGTTTGTTCAAGTTATTTGATGTTAGTGACTTTCTTTTTCATCTCTTCTTGTTTGTGCGAGTTTGTGAGAGTGCCCATCACCTTCCAACAAAATATCTCCTCACATCAAAAAAAGATTCATTTACTTTCTCCGCTATCAACCAGTCTTGTTGCTTATTCCCTCTTTAGATGCATCATTTACCCATGTGTTGGTTCCACTTGAAGGGTTGTAAATCGGTCATACAGTAGGCTACAACTTAATAAACAAAACCTAGATTAAATTGATCAATACAAGCTAAACTTGTTTTTAACGGAATGCCAGCAAATAGGTCAAAGCTCTAGTAGTTCGATTCCAAGCACAAGTACTGGACCTGCGGGAGCTAAAAAAAAAAGCTCAGCAGGAGGAGATCTTGCAGCATCACGGTAATCCAGAGCCGGAGATGAATTCATATACGCAACGGCAACGCGGTGATACTAATGATTTGGGTAAGACCACTTCTCCAAATAGTCTTAATTCTTCAATTCGAACTGGGTCTAGGGCTCCTTGGGCGGATGACAGTGAAACTGAAGGTGAAGTTCCATTGACTCATTTACATAGTGATACTGATAAGAATGGAGATCTTCCTGTTGAACAAGAGAACAGGGATCCCTTGAATCAATTTAATTCTATGAGTGATTCTGGTGAACATGATAAATGATAAAAATCCCAATCCTAAAAGTTGGGCAGGCTTGTTTATAAATAATAGAAAAGCTGGAAAAGGCTAAAAATCTTGATTTTGTGCCTCCTACATATGACAATTGTGCTTGTTTTAATGAAGATGAATGGATTGAAAGTGAATCTATGTGGAAATTTGCTCTTGTTGGTCATGTAATAGGGCTTAATGTTGGTTTCAAAGCTATGGAAGGATATATGCAAAAGATTTGATCTGCCCGAAGTTTGCTTGTAGCAACCTGACTTATTCAACGTCAAGAATGAGGAAGCAAAATCTCGAGCTCTGGATTCAGGACCTTGGTTCTTTGGAGCTAGGGCTTTGTTACATAAACCATGGAGAAGTGATGAGGATCTGGAAAAAATTAAGAACAACTCCTACCCTATGTGGATTCAACTACCAGGTTTAAGCTTAAATTTATGGCACGCGAAAGGTATTAGCAAGATAGCAAGTTTAGTTGGAAATCCTATAGCTACTGATATGCTAATTGCTAAGATACAGAGATTAGCCTATGCTAGGGTCCTGATTGAGGTAGATTTACCAGCTGCTCTACCGGATTATGTCAAGATAAAGGGGCCAAATGGAGTGGTGTATTCCCAAAGGGTGATATATGAATATAAACCATGGTGGTGCGGGCACTGTAAGTTTTTAGGACATATTGAGTTGTGTAAGAGAAAAAAAAAGAGCACTATGAAATCGGTTCCTAAAACTAAAGTGAGTGAAACTACAGGAAACCTTCGTCAATGATAATGTACAAATGCTATTCTGCCAGTATATGATATTGATTTCATTTCTGTTTGTAGAGTTATTGATCAAGAGGTACAGGAGGGATGGACTAAAATACAAAGGAAAGGAAAAACTAAAATCGTTGAGGCTCAAGGAGAAAATTCAAGTGAAGTGCAGACAGTGTAAAATGATGTGCATGCAGGTAAATCTATCTATAATTGTCTAAAATGCATATTGCTTTTTGGAACGTGAGAGGCTATAATATGCCTCTTACTTCACATTGACATCGGTCAACGCATCGTCAATATTGCAATAGTAATATGGAAATATAATATTATACATATTACTATAAAAGAATAAAAAATGAAAAAATTTCTATTTATATAATGATTATGACTACTTTTTCAACAAATTTGATTGATTGATATGAGTTGATTTTCTGTTATGATAGATCAACGAAACAATAGCTAGTCCAGTAGCTGCTTCCACGGCTGCAATGGCTATAATAAAGATTGAGACAC